TGCTTGGCGTTTTTGCTCAAGGCTGGCACTCTACCACTTGAGCCACACCTCCACTTCTAAAATTTTGCTGATTAATTGGAGATGAGACTCTTTCAAATTTGCTTTTCTGGGCTGGCTTTTACTCTGGATCTCATTTTTTTTTTTTTGAGTAGCTAGCATTATAGCATGAACCACTGAGTACCTGGCAAGATTTCAGTAAATGTTTTCATATATGCTTGTGTTGATTTGAGTAGAAATGCTGCTATCATATAACATCCTGCACCAAAGAGTTTTACATTTGTTGATTCTCATTGCACTATGTAATAAAATAAAATTAATCTTATTTGAAGACTCATTCAAAGTTTACAAAATTCTCTTCTACTTAGGTCACTCTACCATAATGAATAAGGATAAAAATCATCTGAATTAGTTCAAAATTATCCAACTTTCTTCTCAAGCATAGTCAATCCAGGGTTTGTGATTTGCAAAGATAATCTTTCTAATGACAATATAAAGTTTCACATAAAGTGAGCTTCAGTTCATTTTTCCCTCATGTATGAATCAGACATATGATCTCTGGTGATCACTGTAGTTAGGAGTTTTGTGTCTACACCAACCAGCAAAGAACATAAATTAAAAAAAAAAGTAGAATATGACTTGTTAGAGCTTTCCCAGAGATTGAATATCAAAGCATCAAAAGACATGAACCACAGTCTGGGTTTTGTTGCTGTTGTTGTTTTTCATATGGTTTCAACAATGTTAATTTTTTTCTCCCATCTTATAAGCTGTGCAGCACCTTTACCCCTGCCACTTTTGCCTTGTATAATTAGCATATAATTATGTGTTCTTTCACACTGGAAAGACTATTCTTTTATTAATGACTCTGAAAAACTTCTTCATTGTGTTGAAAGTCAGTTTGAAATAAAAGACACAAGATTAATTTTCTCTCTTTTTAAACTTAGGAAATATTAAAAATAAAACAGGACACAGGGATATCACAGAAAATCCTAAATCTTCAACTTTCCAATGAGAAAAGGTGTTTGGGAAACAAATGCTGCATTTTCTGTTCTCTTCAGATTAAAATGATGCTTAAAAAAAAAAAGAGCTGTCTGTTCTTGGCCTTTCTTTGTTTTTAGGGCAAAAATGGGTCAGAACAAAAACAGCTTCCTGAATCTAGTACAAAACAGGAGGATATAATTCATATTTGTAATAAGTACAATAGACAATCCAAGTTCATCTTCAATGAATTTGCGCAGCCTCTGATTTCTATTCAATTCTGGAAGGTTTCACATATCTCTAGAGAGGCCATGTAGGCCTCATTGCTGCTTTTTGGCTGACTGCTTTTTTCCACCATTAGGTTTTCCTAAGCACTCCAGATTGGATATGGGCAATTGCAAAGGAGGGTGTACATTATTGGAAATTTTCGTCATTTCTGGAGCCATTTTGATTGTAGTGATCACCTCGTATGACCAACATTTCTTTCCCATGAGACACAGATTGCTTTTGGCTAAGAGCAGTTTTTAGCTACTTTGTAACTTACTCCTGCTTAACTTTTGGATTTCCATTAACTTTTGGGTCCTGCCAAATCAGGATTTATTAGACTCACAGCACCCAAGCTAGCTTCTTCAAGACCAGCAAGTGGTCAATGATATCAATGAATCAGATAATTCAGGTATTGTCTCAATAAGCTTTTGCCACTTGTGCATGGTGGAAATTACCTTCAGCGAACAATCCAACAATCCCATGGAGAAAGCAACACATTTTGCCCAGAGATATTTCAAGAAATTTTCTCCTTTTTTTTTTGGTGGGGGGGGGGGTGTGAGTAGGAGGGGCTGTATTATGTATTGAACTCAGAGTCTTTTGTTTGCTAGGCAATTGTTTTACATTTCAACCACATTCCAGTCCTTTGCTTTTACTTTGTTTCTCAGACAGGGTCTCATGCTTTGATCTTGGCTGCCCTCTGATCTCAATCTTCCTATCTCTACCTTCGGAGTAGCTGGGATCACATACATGACCCTTCATATCCAGCTTGTTTTGAAATAGAGTTTCACTAACTTTGTCTCCTTTGGCTCAAATTATGATCCTTCTATCTCTACTTCCCTAATAGATAAGAGTACATGCAGCCATCATCATATCTAGTCCATAAATGCACATTTTCTCCAAACCATTTACATCCTTTGGCTTAAAATACGTAAATATTTCCTTTTATCATAGGGATGGGGGGTTGTTTTGGTACCAGGGCTTGAACTCAAGGTCTTGCATTACTTTTTTGTCTTTATTTGTACTAGATCACTTGAGCCACACTTCCATTCAAGATTTTTACTAGTTAATTCAAGATAAGAGTCTCAGGGAATTTTTTCTTCCCAGGCTGATTTTGAATTATGATTCTTAGATTTCAGCCTCCTGAGTAGCTAGGATCACAAGCATGAACCTATAATCCAGGACCTGGTTTAATACCTCTTTTTTTAATAAAAGATATTTTTCTTGTGTAGAGGAAGAGACAGCAGTAATAATTTACTTTGATTTTACTCAAAAAGCTCTTCTTTAAATCTTCTCTTCTATATGAAGATAAAACTGGGAATCATGAACTCATTAAAATCCTTACACATAATTTAATCCAAGTGTCTATTGTTGCATAAATCCTTTCTACAATAACTTTGATGAGGTCTTCTGTTCTTTAAGGCAGAAGAGATGAAGGAAAAGTAAAGAGGCCAATGTCTTTGGGGTCATATCAAATAATGAAAACAAAGTATACAAGTTAGGTGTGGTTTTTATCAGTTTCAATTTTTTGGAAAGTATTTGGTGTAGGAAAGGTTCAATTTTAATTTCCACCATGAGATTCTGGCCAACAAGGAAGGAAATAAAACTAGATTTTTATTTTTATTTTTTCATGAGAATTTAGATAACATGGTCTTGACCTTTTTATTTCAATGATCTGGAAAGTTAAAAAATTTTAAAGGTCTACCTCATGAGAAAAAAAATCAGAAACTTTTAAGTAATAATGATTACCTAACAGTAAGTTAAGTTATAAGGTAAAGTTACCTACAAAATACAAGTTAGAAGAATAGGTTTGGAAAGGGACTATGTGGCTTGAATCTTGGTTTCCTAATTAATAAGTGCTCTGACCTTGGGAAGTCACTTAACTTTTTAAAGTTTTGGTTAACTCATCTGCTTTAAAAAGGGGAGACAATAATATGTTCTTCATGAGATCAAAAGGGGAGACAATAATATGTTCTTCATGGGATCATTAAGAGGACTAAAGCAGCTAATTAGTTTAAAGCATTTTGTTTGGTATTTGGTCTATGTTTATGTAGCCAATAAATGTTAGCTTCCTCTTGTCCACTGAGTAATGAAAACATGGAATGGCTGTGGAGAATGGACAGGTTTTGTGTTGTTTGTTTTTTTCATCTGTTTCACCATCTCAATTCCTTGGTGAATTTCCATGAGTTTTATTTTGCATTAAGGATTGATAGGATTAGGGGGAAATAATTTTATGAGATAACGATTTTATAAGGGAATTTTATGTTGCCAAAATGCTTTTAACCAATCAGTATAAATTATATTACTTTCTAATTCAAGGTATAATACAGTTATTCCAGTTTAATCATTCACTTAATGGATTTTGGAAAGATGTCTAACATCTAACGAACTACTTAAAGTCAATAATAATTTGACAAAGTTTCTCTTTATTTGTGCTGTTTGGAATATGGTGAGTTTTGTGTATAGCTAATCAGTCAGTGCATTGCAGATATTCCTCTATAGACTGAAATATACTTGGGTGAATTATTAATCCCTTTAATATGTCCATACAAGGTTAAAAATTCTATGTCTATATCATAAATAACCAGGCTAGCTTTGTATGTCTTTATAAAATTCTCCTACACCATCATTGTGTAATTCAATAAATAATTTTGTATTATTCAATAAATAATTTTATTTCTGTTAAATTAAAAAAGACTAAACTTTCATGTGCTAATTCTAAAACAAAATGAACTGCAAATTCTGCCAGACCAGAAGATCTATTTAGCTGAGAAATTAAATAATAGTCATTTTTTCAGTCCTCTTGCCAACCTCCAGAGGTTTGAAATAGCAAAACTGAAAGACTTTACAATCTTTAGAGTGCTCTCTTTGCACTGACTCTAGGATTCTGTAATTCCTCATAGTAACCCATTATAATGGCTGCAAACATCAACCATCAAAGAACTATTTAATGAGTTTGGTGCAAGTGGCTCAGACCTGTAACACTATCTACTCAGGAGGCTAGGCTCTGAGGATCCAGGTTAAAAGCCAGCCCAAGCAGACTTATTTAAGAAAATCTTATCTCCAATCAACCAACAAACCACTAGAATGGCAGAATATCTCAATTGGTAGAGTGTTGGCTGTAAATAGAAAAAGCAGTGCAGCAGCAGAAGACTCTAAGCTCAAGCTCCGTTAGTGGGAGAAGAAGAAGAAAAGATAAAAGAAGGGAAGGAGGGAAGGAGAGAGGGGAAGGAAGTTAGAAGGAGGGAATGAAGACAGGAAGGAAGAGAAGAGAAAAGGGGAGAGGAGAGGAGAGGAGAGAAGGAGGAAGATGAAAATTAATGTTCTAGAAATTAACAATATCAAAATAACTTCTTCCGTAAAACAGAAAGAAGCTTATTTGGAAAATGTAATAGAGTCATAGAGAACTTAATACTTCTGTATCAGAATTTATTCAGATTACTATACATCACAAGAATAAGATGTGGGATCAACTGCCAAGCATTTAATATGCATTCGTTGAGAGGTTCACATTAATGGCAATATGAAACTATTTTTTCTTCACCTAGCATGATAGTTGATGTTAATATATAAAAGATGTTATTCTGAAATTTTAAAAAAATACTATGAAAAAGTAAATTAAGAGAAAAATAGGAAAGCTGTACTTTGTGAAACTATGCTTTCTCTTTTTATAACCACCACTCAATGGAGCAACTACAAGTGCCTCCTTCTCTAATTCTGAGATATCTTGCCTTCTTTTTTCAAGACAGTTGTCCACTTACCCTAGTTGTTTTCACTTTATTCCCAGAAGAACAGCTCCATCCTTTCCGATCTGGAAGGACTTTACATTCTTCTCCCTCCAAACATGGCTGCATATGACACCACCATTTCTGTTCCACTATGGAAGCTGAATCAGACAGACAGACAGACAGACAGAAGTCATCTCAATATTTTCTGATTGCATGGTTAATTCTCTGGGTACACATGTATAGAAGAACAAAGGTCAGTGCTCTAACTAAATGATTCATTGCTAAAGGAATTTTTACTTAACATTTTATTTTTCATTGTGCCAAGGACAATGAACATAGTATCTAAAATGTAAATATATTTCTAGTGGACTAATACACTGGTGATAATTACAACCACAGTGATGGACTATTTTTTTTTTGTAGGTGGGGCTTGAACTCAGGGCTTTGGTGCTGTTCCTGAGCCTCTTCATGCTCAAGGCTAGCCATCTACCACTTGAGCCACAGCACCACTACTTCTTTTTGAGTGGTTAATTGGAGATAAGAGTCTCATAGAGACTTTTGTGCCTTGGCTGGCTTTGAACCATATCCTCAGATCTCAGCCTCCTGCATAGCTAGGATTACAGGCATGAGCCATCAGTGCCTGGATGTTGATGGACATTTCTCATGTGAAAATATAGAACTCCTTACAAGAAACCTATGTGAAGATGTGCATGCATTGGCTTATGGAAATATATAAGAAAATGGACTCAACTGATCTTGAATCAGTATTTTAGAAACAATATAGTATTTATCATGAGTAGTCTGAAAAATCAGGAGAGTGTTAGGCAAACATTTTTGTTTTCTATCACAGACAGTAGCCTCATCACAACAATATACTGTTTAACAAATTACTATTTATGTTAATAACAATTAAGTAGAGCTATAACAAAAGCTATGTTCTATTATAATTAGGTGGGCTCTAATTATGAAGAAAGAAATTTGTATTTTCATGCACCATCACAAAACCAGTGTGCTTCATATACACAGTGTTGATGTTTTTCATTGTTAATCGCCATCCTGGGCTAAAGAATCCATTCTCTTATACTATCGATTTTCATCTTGCCATTAATTAACACACATCTTCTCTACTCTCTACCATGAAATCAGTTATTTGACGGTATCCAAACAAGAAGTACTTTGGCTCATGATAATTGTTTTTGTAACAGAACTGCATGAGAGCTTAAAAAATTCTACATCTAAAAAATGCCCCTGTGAACACTTCGTTTCAGTGTGGTCCCCTAAGATGGCCTCCCAGTGTACATCATTATAGTAGCATTCCAATGCCAAGCAGCCCGGTCTATGCTATGACAGTGAGTAATGGAAAAAGTCGCACCATCCACACAAGACGGGGCAGCTCTTGTGGTGCCGGCCACCTGCCCTGGAAAACAGGAGCACTTCACTGTTTGTGATCGCTCTTCTATCTTGTTCTTATTACAGCATCTGTGGAGCGCCACCACCTCGCAAGTTCCTGTTTTAACATGGTGAGCTGTGCAAACAAAAGAAACAAAAGATAAAAACAATATGGACACATTTGGACACTTCCCTCCCTCTTTTTTTAATTAGAAGGACATTAAATATAGCTCTATAAGGGAGCCACCATGCATGAAACTAGAAATACAGTGATGTTAACTCCATAATGCAGATTTGATTTCCTTTCTCAATGTGATGAGACCATTTCTGTCAGTAAATGCTTGGTGAAGCAGGGACAATTAGTTGACTCCATTAGAATGAGCTGTGAAAGCAGTCTGAAATATAGAGGCAATACATGGTGCCATCAAAAACATATTTATTTGCAGATGACTTTTTCACACCTTTCCATTTGATGCATTTATAGTAATGTAAGTCCTGGGACAAGATGTCCTTCAGCAGAGTTGAGCCTAGCCACTTTCTTAAAGCAGATGTTGATAAAAGTGTGACTAGACAGAGAATCCTCCAAAAAAAACCACAAAACAGAATGTGAGAACCACATCTTCAGTATCCTGCTCAGTATCCCCAGTAAAAAAGAATCTTTAAGTTGCCACCATTGCATTCAAAGTGCCAGCCAATCTCTAGTCCAGAATCATTCCTTTCCTTGAGGATACAAGTACTACCAAATGACAAGAGCAGCCAGAACGTAGATGAATCATATATGGAAGCCAGCCACCTGGAAATCCAGATGTGAAAGCTTTCAGCCTCCAAGGACTATATGTTCAAACCTCAAAGCAAGGCTGTTGAGTTTTCTGGGAGATTGAAATATGTGGAGCTCACTTGCCACATTTGGAAAGGACTTGAGTCTGCCTTCATCTTTGTTGGGGTTTTTCCCTGTTTCCTCTTTAAAGCATTAACTCTACTATGAGGTGATAAAGTATGTTTCATTTCCTTAATGGAAAAAAAAGCTTTATGTTAAAACGTTTGCTGAGTAATTACACTTTCAGAAGTTTAGAAAATGTGATTGGTATAAAAACAGAAATGTAAATAGAAAAGCAGGTCTGATGGTGTTTAAAGTTGTTACACCATGCGATTCTATTAACCGTGTCCCCAGAGATGAGAAAACAGTGAGATGTGCAGTAAGTCAGGCTAGAGAGCTTGCGTAGATTTTTCTAAGAGAATATAAATTATATCATCCACTTTTTAATCCCTCCATGTGAAGCCACAAAACCAAGTCGTGTTTTAGATGAATGAATACCACACACAAAACACCACTGTGAAGAAGGACACAGTCTATCCCTCTTCTTAAAGACTTGGAAATCCTAGGGAGAAAACCCCTGGGTCAGAGATTAAGTAAATGTTGGATTTTGGAGCTCTTGAAGCAATGCAGTAAGTTCTAGAGAAGGTTCTTCTGATGCAGTTACCTGAAGAGTGAACTGAACTATAAGAACGAAGGGTGCATTATGGAGATGTAAGGAAGATGCAGTAAGTTCTAGAGAAGGTTCTTTTGATGCAGTTACCTGAAGAGTGAACTGAACTATAAGAACGAAGGGTGCATTATGGAGATGTAAGGAAGGAAAAACATTTCCAACAGAAGCCAACCACATAAAAAAGGCGCTCATAAAAATAGGAGGAAATATGCTGTGTTTTCAGAACAGCAAAAGGCCAGGGTCACTGCGGTGAATTTAAGGAATTGAGAGGTTGAGGGAACTGTGTCACAAATGCAGTCAGGTCATGCAGAGACTAGTAAGGACACTGGTTATTATTTGGCTTATAAGGAAAATGTCATTACATCATTTATGTTTTAGAACTTTGCTTGACCTCCCCCCTCCCCACCATCCCGTTAAAGTCTGAAATGAAGAAAACAAGAATGGAAATCTGTAAAGTAGTTGTAGATATCTAGGTAGTAAAAGATGGGAATTAGACTCTATTAACTATAGCAGAGGCCAGAAGCAGCGAGTTAAAGATGTGTTCAAGCTAATTGCTTGAATAAGGGGTGAAAGGGAAACAGGAATGAAAGATTACTCTTGATCTGAGTAATTAGTAGTAGATGATTCGAATAGAAAAACCTGAGGAAAGGGAATTGGAAGATGATGGGTAGAATTAAGATGTACTTCTGATTGAGTCGTGTTAAATTTGAGTTTATTTGAGGAGGAGAGAGCCTTTCACTTTCTGGGCAGGCCCTCTACCACTTGAACCACACCCCTAGACATTTTTACTTCATTTTTCAGATTGGCTCACACTTTTGCCCAGTGGTGGCCATGGAGTATATTCTTCCTACTTCTGTCTCTAGTAGCTGAGATCAGAGATATGTGTCCTCATGCTTAGCTTTTGATTGAGTTGAGATCTTGCTAATTGTTTTGCCTGGGCTGGTCTCCTATCTCAATCTTTCCAATCTTTGCCACATGGATACCTGAGATTTTAGGCATATAACATCATGCCTAGACTAACTCCGAGATTCTTTGCAACACCCAAGTAGAAATGTAAATAACAGCAACATTTAAGACATAGAGCTTAAGGAAGAGATCTGGGCTACAGACATAGACTTAAGAGCCTTAAATCGATAGATGTTATGTAAAGCCAAGGCTTTAATAGGCTTGCCATGAAAATGTCACTGATACAGAAGAGAAAAAGGAAAAAGAGTTTAAAATCTAGACATGAAATAGAAGACAGCAAACACTGGTAAAAGAAGCAATTAAAGAAAAAAGAAAAAGTCCTGGGACTTAAGGAACAGAAGAGCAAGGACTAAAATGTACAAAAGGAAACAACTTATCAGCCATGTCAAATGTCATTGAGAGATCCAATTAAGTGAAGAGAGCATAGTGTCTATTAAAAAAATAATATACCTTGAATAGTGAAAGCAATCTTTAGAAAAGAACAAAACTTTTACAAAACATAAAGGTACAAAGACACAATCAGGAAAGAACAATCTCTTCAATAAACAGTGTTGAGACACTGGACACCTATATGCAGACTGATTTGGCCTTAGCTCATGCCACATATAAAATCAACACAAAATGAATTAAAGACCTAAATACAGGATCTGAAACCATAAAACTGTTAGAGAAAAACAGAAGGGAAAAGTTCCATGAAATTGATCTGGACAGTGCTATTTTTAGACGTTAAAAACAAAAGCACCAGCAACAAAGGCAAAAATAGAAAGAAAGGGCTTAAATCAGAATAAAAAAGCTCTGTACAGCCAAAAAAACATCCACGTTGAAAAAATATAGCCCGTGAAACTGAGAAAAACATTGTAGGGAGTGTTTAACTAAGCTTGGTGTGGGACATAATTTGTTCTAAGAGGACAGAAATTGAAAAACTGTAGGTAGACAAATGGAAGATGCAGTAGTTTCTTATCTGTTTTCATCTAATGTAAGAGATTTATTTTTATTTTTATTTTTTTGGTCCGGTCGTGGGGCCTGAACTCCAGGCCTAGGCGCTGTCCCTCAGCTCTTCAGCTCAAGGTGAGTGCTCTACCACTTGAGCCACAGTGCCACTTCCGGATTTTTTTCTTTTTGCTTATGTGGTGCTAAGGAATCAAACGCATGGCTTCATGCATGCAAGGCAAGTGCTCTACCACTGAGCCACCTTCCCAGACATACTGTGAGAGATTTTTGAAAAGAGAAATAAAAGAGAATGAAGCAGGTATCTATGAAAAAAGGATATGAATCTGGGAAGGACCAGTTACAGTATCTCACAGGGATTTCACTGAAGGATGCAAAGTGAAGAGGATGTGCGGGACTGGAGGGATGATGGGCAGAACTTGTAGAGTTGAGGTTGGAAGAATGTGTTCCTCTAACAACACATCACTTGGGATGCTTGGGCCTTTAATAGTGATTTAGAGAAACCAAGATATTGAGTGATGATGACCATAGTCTTTCATGTTTGAATGGAGACCAGAAAGAGATGATTAAGCCTTCTCCAGAGAGTGCCCATGGCAAGCAATCAGTGACCAAAGGTCAATTTGGAGAGAACTTGGTGGCTGAGCCTCTGCTCTCTTCCATAGGGACATAGCAGCCAAGAAACAGCATATGGTATGGCTCCCTGACCTCTCTCCTGGGAAAAGAGGTATTTCTTCAGAACCATATCTATTTCTCAAACATTATCATAGAAAGATTTTTATTATATATTTGGAAAGAAGGGAGAAGTCTGGTCCCCTCTCTTCTGGCATGTGGAAGCATTGTACTTCTCCATCCTGTCAACTTTGGCTATGGGGATCTACTTTCTTTGTCTAATAAAATAAAATTAAAAGCAATAAGAAATCTGGCACTGGTGGCTCATGCCTTTAATTCTAGCTACTCAAGAGGCTGAGATCTGAGGACCACAGTTCAAAGGCAGCCCAGGCAAGAAAGTTCATGACTCTTATCTCCAATTAACCACTAAAAAGCCAGAAGCGCTGTGGCTCAAGTAGTAGAGCACTATCCTTGAGCATAAAGCTCAGAAACAGCCAGGTCAGGGAGTCCAAACACCAGGATACACACACACACACACAAACACACACACACACACACACACACACACACACCACACATACATGCATACATGCATGCACACACACATTCAGTAAGAGGCATTTCTGAATGAAAGCTTTTCTTTGTAGCAGAACCGACATTAACCTGGATCCCAACTGCAGAGATGTGAGACAATCACAACCAACCATGATGCACAAGGACAAAATAAACTGATCCTGTTCCAAAAACTCTAACACTAGGAGTTTTGACTACCTCAAATTTCACGAACTTTGATAATACGGTCATTCCTTCTCCTGCTCCCTAATTTGTTCAGTAGTTAACACTCCTATAGGAATCTAGATGTGTTGATTGTGGCCTAAGTTAAGATGGCATAAATCCAGTATCTATAATCCTGGATCATTCCAGTGCATGTGAAGCAATGTAGAATAAAGACAAAAGAGTTATTGTTCCGATATTTATGCACTTTGAAGAGTTGTAAGGGATTACTCTACAATGGGATAATTACATTGGCTAAATTTAGAATGTCAGAGCTGTGATAGAAAAAAAAAAAAAAAACGATGCTTCTTTCTTCTTGTAAAAGAAAGGAGGGTAAATGATGGCCATGCTG